AGGGTTGATTTCCTTTAAGATTGACTGGTTTGACCTCCTAGCAGTCCAGGGGACTCTTAGGGGGACTGCTATATTACAACCTACCAGATATGAACACTGCTATTATATCTCCCCTTGTTCCTGTTTTCTAGTTCAGAAGGGCTAGAAAAATTCTGCCTTTTGGTTAGATGGGCCAAGGTCTGTTTCACCATAAGATAATATCCTGTGTTCCTCTTTAGGGAGCTGCACCAGTCCAGCGTCAAAGCCAAGAGGATCTACTTTCCAAGAAATTCCAGTGGATAGTTAATATGATCCTTTAAAAACTTTATCTGCTCTAGGGACATACAGTGTGGTTTGTAGTCACGATAGAGTGGGATTGACTGGGTGATGTCCAAGGGGTTTGCAAGAGTTCAGCGATGTTTTAGAGCCCCAGTAGTTTTAACAGAGGCAAGTCATGCGGTTAAAAAATGAAGTATCAGACATAGATTATATTTGCATGCAAATGCTTACTGCTCCTTGTTCCTGGCCTGCATTATAGATGCTTTACTTGATTGACTTTCACCCAGTTATTGCTCAGTGTTTCTCAACCTTGGCAACTTTAAGATGGGTGGACTTCAACTCCCAGAATTCCCAGTATTCCCAGAATTCTGGGAGTTGAAGTCCACCCATCTTAAAGTTGCCAAGGTTGAGAAACACTGGCTTAGAGCCTTTCTTTGCCAATTCCCAGTATTCCCAGAATTCTGGGAGTTGAAGTCCACCCATCTTAAAGTTGCCAAGGTTGAGAAACACTGGCTTAGAGCCTTTCTTTGCCAATTCCCAGTATTCCCAGAATTCTGGGAGTTGAAGTCCACCCATCTTAAAGTTGCCAAGGTTGAGAAACACTGGCTTAGAGCCTTTCTTTGCCAGAATCTAACTTGCAGGAACTCTGTGAAGATTTGTAGAGAATATGAGAAGTTAAGAATTCAACTCAGTGAATAACCGTTGTAGCATCAACCGTGTGTATTAACTAGCCTGGTAATGAAACGTCTGTAGGAAAACAGCCAAGCGCCAAGAACCCCCATGCATATTCTCCTTTTTCAGAGACTCTTTGCATGGCAGAGGAGACAATTGTCCATCTCTGCCCTTCTCTAGTGCCACCACCATAGCTGGTCAGGTTCTTTCAGGAAATGTCCCTTACATAGCAGAACCCCGGCTTCATCGTTATAAAGAGCTTCTGGCCGTGCGTAATATACAGAACTTAAAATGACATCCCACTGTTGGTATTTCAGCAAAGAAAAAAGAAAATAAAGTTTCTTTTGAGTCGAGCTCCTGGTGACTTCATGGAAGCTCCATGGAGGTTTTGTGCCAATGATGCGGATGTGGTTTGCCATCTGCCTTCTAAGGATGTTTTTTCACCTTCCCAGCTGAGTCTACAGCCTACGCGGTATTGAGAAGGAACGATCTCTGAACGTGGAGCTTCCATACAATCAGTGTTTGGTTTTCTTCCTTGACTGGTCTCAAAAATGAAACAGGGTTAGCTCTGGCTGGGATTTGGAGGAAAGATGACATGGAAATCCCCGAGCTGCTGACTAGAGTGGGAAGTCAAAGGTGGCAAATTGGTTTGCTGTTGAACCCAACAGTTCAACCCCTAGCTACGTCTGTTCTTTACTATTGGGAGTACAAATCTTCACAGACTTAGGGCAAGTTAGATTCTGGCCAAAAAGAAAAAAGAGGTCTAGGCCCAGCTGTGCAACGACTGGGTGAAAGTAGGTCCATTACAAGATCTACTTTGTAGGCAAGGAAGAAGGATACGGAGTAGGCATACAGAGGGATTTGTTATGTCTGAATGTGGGTATTTCATATAATCCACCTTTGCCTTTCTTTGTGTGCAAAATCAAGGCAAACTTTTCTCTTTAACTGCAATAGATTGGGGGCTAAAATGGGGATCACACTTACTTCTGAAGCAGGGTTGGGGCTCTGCCCCTGGCTAGATGGCAAAAGTCTTCCACAAATCAACATTCCAGACTTTTGGGAAGAGGATCTCTTCCTTCCTCTGTCGACTGGCTGGATGGGGAGAGAGGAGGAAAGAGACCTGCTGAATTTTGTCTCGGTCTCCAACAACTAGCAGGATCAGGGTTCTGCTCTTCCCAAAGACTGTGGGATCCTCCAGGGTGCCCTCTCTCTGCTCCAACCTGGTGATCCCCAGACAAGTTGGGAACAGCGAGAGCTGCTCTTGCAACACACCTGGATGGCACCTAGTTGAGGAAAGGTGTCTCTCCAAAGGAATATTGTGCATAAAGGTTTGGTTGTAACCATAATGAGAGACAGTCACAGTCACAGAAAATGGCACGATCAGCCCTTTGAGGTAGGGCGGGTCAAGAAAGATCCCAGAGATGCTCCTTTTGTCATAGGATAGAATAACAGGATCTTGAAACCTGCCACAGTTTCTCTCTACTCCGTCTTATGCCAAGCAAAGTCAAGGCAGGGCCACTTTGAGTTTCTTCCTCATGCTTTCTCCTTTCCCAGGACTGAGAAATCTTTTCGGAAA